TGTAGAGAGGATGAAACTGGTTGGGGGCGGCCCCCATGGAGGTGGTGTCCACGCCAGGGAGGCCGGTGCCCTGCCCCATGCAAGGCACGGCTGCTTCGGGCAGAGCCTTTCCCCCACCGCAGAGGGGCTTCTCCAGCAGGTTGGCAGCCAGCCCCTTCCCCTCGGGGCCGGCTGCCGGCCCCTCGCCCGCCGCCCCGTTCTGAGGCAGGGGACCCCCTCTTTCGGAGGCGGGCACCAGGTCCCTCACGCAGCCCGGGTCGCCGGCATAGCCGCTCTCTGCCGACCATGCTCCCTTGGCCTGCCCTCCCTTCAGGTCACCCTTCACACCGGGGCCGTCCTCCTCCCCATCCGGGGGCAAGGCGCGCCTCGTGCACTCCATGGGCAGCGGGGGCTTGGGATGAGGTAGGAGTTTGGCGTAGGCCCCGTCGGGAATGCTGATGCACTGAGCCTTCTCGTCCATGCCCGCCGGTGTGTCCACTGAAAGAGAGGGAAGAAAGTCAAACACATGCCTAATTTTGGTAAATTTGGGTGATCTTTAATAGCTGTTTCTTTGAAAAGCCACCACTAAGTCACAGCTTCCCCTGGAGTAACACGGCACACGAGTTTGGTCTGACATAGAGGTGTGCAGAGGCTGTCTGAAGGAGAGGCAGAGTAGGGGTCCACATGACAGTGACATCAGGTGCTGGTTTCAGCTCGATTTCTGACTGCCTTATTCCTTCTCATAGAATCATGGAATAGTTTGGGTTGGAAGGAACCTTAAAGATTATTTAGTTCTCTCCCCTGTGCAGAGAGACACCTCCCACTAGGTCAGATTGGTCAAAGTCCCCTCCATCCTGGTCTTGAACACCTCCAGGGATGGGGCATCCACAGCTTCTCTGGACAGTCTGTGTCAGGGCCTCACCACTTTCACAGTAAAGAATCTATTCTTAACACTGAACTTCAGCTCACCCTCCACAAACCCTGTTTGCATGCAGCTTGGGCAGAAGCACCACCACAGCCTGAGATGCTGCAGAGCTGATCACAGTCATATTTTAACCAAGTGTGGTTTGGAGATGAGACTGCTCTGTCCTGCAATCGCTCAACGTTCTCCCCTGTCTCTGTTCTGTATCCAGCAAGCTAAATTATGATGATAACTTTTAAGCAATGCCACACAAGGAAAGAGTTTCCTCTTAGTGCAAGGCACACAAGGGATTGATAAAAGATACAAGGGTTTTGATCTCTAGTTTACCAGCTAGAAATAATGAAAAATTTTTTTTTGATCTCTGAATTGTTTTGATCTCTGCATTAGGTTTTATTTTTAAGGCTCTTTTTTTTTTTATTATCTGTAGTTTACCGGATAGAACAAATGAAATTCAACCAGAAAGAAGCTGGTGAGGGCATGCATGACATGCTGCCATCCCACCTGAACCGATACAGCTGCTCAGGGCTTTTGGGCAACCCTGGTGTGTGAAGATTTTAAGATGTTGAGAGCTCATAAGGCAGATGTGCATTTCAGAGGAGAAGCCATACTGACACACACTCAAAGGAGTATATTTAAGGCATTTATTCACATAACATCTCCTCTCCTTACCTAACTACCTGCAGATCCAAGTTTTATATTAACTCCAGGTGAGCTCTAGCAGCATCACAGCCTGTGCTTTGCATTTGCACCTCGTGGCACACTGATAACTTGCACATAAAGCTGTGACAGAGGGGACCTCTGGCAGGCTACAGTGAAACAAAACAGTCCTAGAAAAACCTAAGCAATGCCCAGAGTAGAAAACATACTCCAATTTAGATTGAAAAACCAAAACTACGTGTAAAAACTCAGTTCCCCCCATAATATTCAATCAAGATTTGAATTATCTTCTGAGAGGCAGAGGCAGATACAGGCAAGGACAGTCAAGTGCTACCAGTGGGCACTCGGGGCGTTACCTTGGTTGCTGTCCATGTCCATGGTCTGGCCGGTTGGATCCTGGGAGCTCCCGTTTCCCAGGAGGGGTTTTGGGGGCTGGCCGCCAGCGGAGGCGGCGTGAGCCAGCTGGGGAAAGGGCCCGGGGAGGTGCGGCGGGGGCGGCTGGCGAGGGTGGTAAGGCACACCCGGCGGGCACACGCGGGAGGACAGCTGCTGCATGGCGATCATCTCCGGGCTGTCCAGCATGGAGTCCCCGCCCTGGCACCCTCTTTGAACCTGAGGCGGTCCCCCAAACAGAGCGGCCGGCGGCTGCGGCATCCTCTGCCCGGTGGCTTTCCCGGGCGGCCGGATGTACCCTGAGGGAGGCACCCCGTGAGGTAGGAAATTCGACTG